AGTGTAATTTTATCCATCCCACTTTGAGGTATGAGTCTACTAATGATGAAAACTGAGAAAATAATTTATTCAGTATATTCATTGAAGCACTGGTAGCTCCTACCATGAGTTACACAAATAACCTTTACTGTGAAGGTCTTCATTCTTGATGTTTAGCTGTTAGCTAAACTGTTTAGCTTAGATGTTTAGCTTTCTGTCTCTCTGTATGTCTGTGTCTTTTAGACAACTTTTTCTGTTTGTTTTTTTTTTTTAAAATTTAATATTTTAAGACAGAGAGGTTTGAAGTTGTGTCCCAGTTGCTCACAAAAATTCAGAAATGGGAAGGCAAAGTCTTCTGAACCCCATGCGTTTGTGTATGCATGGTGATTCTAAGGTGTACGTGTATGAATGTGCACACATATCTAATCAAATTTTAATTTTACTATTTTCTTGTAAACTGGACTTAGCCCTCATAATTTTTTTTAATGTTTGGACTTCTTATTACAGTGACAATGGGTAGCCAGTGTCCAGAGTAGAACATCAGCCACGGGGTATGTGAAGGATGTTTAATGTCTTGCAAAAGCTGTACATGCTTACTGGTACATTTGTAGTTTTTAAAAGTACTGAATTCTGAGTGATCAAATAGGGAATCTAATTTCTAAACTAAGCTAAACTCTAGCTGTGGTACTTAAAGTATTTTGTAGTTGCAGCCTGGACACTGCTGTACAGTGCTTGCCAGTTTGCAAATGTCAAGGACAGTTACCCTCTCACATTCCTAAATGACTTGCTCCTGACCATCCTTCAAAAACCTGCCCTTTCTCCAGCTCATTCTCCTTCTCTAGCTCTTGCTGCCAAATTCTGTTCTGCTGTGTGACTGCAAGGAGAGTAATCCCTGGGAAGACTAGGTCTTGTTGGTCCATGAAGTATCTGAACTCCCTCTCCTTACCCTAAAAACTAAGACAACGGCACCTGAAAAGCTGGGGAAAGTATTTTCATGTATGTAGCTGTGTAGATTATTAGCTAGAGCATATGGTCTTGCTGGTCTTGGTCAGGTAATTCCTTATAGGCCCAGGCTAATACAATGTGCAAAGGCACCATTGTTTTAATATTTTATTATGCATTAGTGTATACATATTTTCATGTGTGATGTAGGAGCAAATATCATATGTATGAACTTTCTAAAGTACTTTAATCTGACAAAAACCTTTGTGTTAGTCTTGTAAGTGATATGAGACTGTATTGTACTGTAGTGCCTTAGCATTTATTGTGGCTGACACTGTTTTTGGAAATGTATAATGTTATAATACTTTGCACATTGCTTCCGTATTATGCCCATTCTGCGGGTAATGCTTTATTCCCTATGCAGCTTCAAAGTGTTTAGAAAAAAGGATAGTGTGCTATTAAAAATGTGCTTACGGCAGAGCAAGTACATAAATTCTTGTTTGTCAATAGTGGTCAAATATGTGAAAGTTGTCTTCAAAAGTGAACTGAGTGGTGTAATATTTATATAGCAATACAATGGAGTAATAACAATGCCATATTGTAAGAAACCGTAAATTCTATTTGACTGATATAAATGCAAATTTAGGGCAATAACCTGAAGGTATGGTGTCAGAGGTCTGTTTGCAGTGTAGAGTACCAGGTGTACTCTGGCTTCTAACAGGCAGACAGGATGTGATGCACAAGGTGATTCTGTTCATGGCGTGTTAAACACAGCTTCAATGAAGTTAAACTTTGAGTAACATCAAAGCAGTATTACCAAGGCTGGATAACAAAGCAGTATAATATGTTGGCACTGTGTTTAAACCTGAGAGAGAACAAAATGGAGTAGCAAAACTGAGGACTGTGAATGCTACTGTACAAGCAGATACAGGGGAAACTCTGCTGTTTGTCATATTTACTTACTTATTTGTGATCTTGTAGGTATGAATGGATGTTGAACAAAGCAGTTTCACTGCAGAAAATGGTCCTTGGTTCCCTGATGATGAGTGAAATAGGTAGCTCCAAAAACTACTGAAACAGCAGCATGAAAGGAAACATCATCACTGGTGAAAACTCTGTAAAATACAGATGGAGAAGCAGAATGAAATCCTGAGAACAACTAGTCTTAGGCTAAGCTATAGTTTAAACTTCCAATTCACCTTCAGGGAGGAGGATGCAAGGGCTTAACTCTTCCTGGCCTGTGATGTAAATGCCAGAAGCACACTAGAAAATGAGCTAATTTAGGTAGTTTAGGTGAGCAATTGGACCAGGGATAAAGCATGTAAGACCTGAGATTTGGGCAGACAGCCATGAAAAGAGGTTTACTCAGGCCAAATTGGAAAAGCCTTTTCAATAATTGAAATGGGCTCTGCTTCACAGGACAGGTGTTCTCACTAGGGGAGCACTTAGATTTCTGATGAGGGCTGGCAGCGGCCTTGCATGTGCAAGGGATAGCATGGGGCTCACTGAACAGATAGCCGTGGGATCTTGCCATGGGTGAGGATACAGCAAGCTTGAGCATACAGAAATTAGATCCTGGCATAAGGTTTATTCTAGCTTCAGTTTTTTGGGTTGTGGGGTTGGTTTGGTGTTTTTTTGAGGGATGAAGGTACTGCTTAATAGAAGGTTCATTTTTATCTTTAAAGTTTTTATGCAGTATCTTTTCATCTTCTTTGTCCCCTGTGGGAGTAAGAAGTGTATCTTTCTTGATGAAGCTACTGTGCAGGCTGAGCCCTTTTGTTCTTAAAAAGTGTTATTCATGGAGTTAAACAGAATTAATCTTTGTCCTCCTGACAGTTCTCAAAGCCTGGTTAATTAAGATGATCAGTGCTTGCATAACTAGGTCTTGACAAAGTCCAGGTGTTCCTGTACTTCAGGCACACCTGCACCTTTTTCCCCTCTGTGAAGCAAGACGGGGTGAAAAGTTCTTGACTTGTCTTTTTATCTAATTCTAGGTCTGCACTTGGAAATGTTTTCCATATTCTTGAAGTCTTTCTACACTCATGGGATTTTTATTTTTTTTTCGGTTGTGTGCTTTCCCTTTCCTCTCCCTAAATGTGCTGATGGCACTCCCAAATCTTTATCCCATTTTCTGAATTGTGTTATCTACTTCCTCCAGAGATGGCTTGATAAAAATCTGGTTTCCAGTTTTCCCCATGTTTCAGACTTGTGTGGAAGAGAATATCATTTAATGAACCTCTGTTTGTGGTCTTTCTTGCTTTTTCATATGGTATTCATTTCAAATGGTCCTCAATATTTTATTTCTTTTTTCTCTACTGAAATAGATTTGTACTAAGGCATTGGAAATGCTACATCACAGTGTAGTTACAGATTCATTCTCTCATGGCCTCTGGAATTATGTGAAGCTCACACTGTTTTCTGTAATAGGCTTATAGAGTTACTTTTTTTCCTTGCAGAGGCCTTCTTTTATTTAAACTTTTCCCAAAATGGTTGTTTCTACCTACTTTCTCTTCTAAACCTTTATCCTTCCTTCTTGGTAGCCAGGTAACTGATCAGCCAGAGCTGATGTGGATATCTAGATGTTCCTTCCCATGCTGAACAGTCACTGCTTCTTAATAGCTGATCTGTGTAAGGAGTGTGACATGTCCCAGGAGAGTGTGACAGCAAAATATTTCCTGTTTATTGTCATTAAAACAACACAAGTAAACATACAAGGTGCTTTGAAGAGTTGTGTTCCAATCTCCCATAGGTGCGAGTCAGGATAACTCCATTTAAGTTAGTGTGATGAAGTAAGAATTGATCCCATGGACAGGTGCAATGTGATTCCTCAGAGAAACACTTGGGAGGGGAGACCTTGCCTGTGTAGTATGACAAGCTAGTCCTTCATCCTGAACTCTGTTATGTCCCCCTGTGTCCTCTTCCTTTGTACTGCAAGTATTGTTGTTTGGATGGAGCTTCAGGTGGTTTTTTGGGCTCTCTCCTCTCCTTGGGTCCCCTGTTTGTGCATGGGGATGAGTGTCAGTATTGGATCCCTGTTCTGAGTGGGACTCAGATGGGTCAGACATGGGACATATCATGTCAAGTATGTTTTTCCCAGTTGTTGTGTTGCTGTTTTGTTTTTTATGCTAAAACAAGGAAGTGATGAGTTTAATATTTCAAGATGGTAATTTAAATAGCTGCAGCTATAAAAAACATGGGAAAGACATGTTTTGAGACCGGCTTTGCAAAGCTTGTTTTAGTCATCTGTACCTCAGAGTGTATGCTCTATGGCATTCCATCCTTCCCATGTAAACACTGGGGAGGGAGAGCTGTCAGAAACAGGCTTTGCAGCTGCTGCCTGTAGCCACTCTTTGGTTTTTACTGTCCAGGGCAATCCGTGTGGAGAAATGTTTGTGCCTGGCCCAGTGAGTGCTGACAGTGTGTGACAGTGAGTGCAGTGACTCTGGAAGCACCTGAGGAGTGACTTGTTGTGGCTGCGGCCTGTGGAAGGCAGAATTGGAAGTAGCGTTCACCAGAGGGGAACACTGGATTTTCTTGGAACTGGGGTGGGGAGTGTCTGTGTGTGTGTTTGTGGTTTTTTTCTCCCAAAACCCCACAGCTTATCTTGCTTGTTTCTCTGTCTCTCCACTCCCCTCTGGCCAAACTCGACTTTGTAATTCTTTGCTCTTTCCTGCTTGGCCTGATGTTTTCTCATGTTCAATGTTGAGTTTGAATTTGCACCTAGTTTCTGCACAAAACATAGCAGTGATGACCTGTTGGTTAGGAGGTTTTCACAGTATTAAACAGACTGAAAGTGAAATGGCATTAGATTGGTACACCTGTGTGCCCAAAATAACTTCAGACCTTTAAAAATAGGTAGTAAGAACTAAATTATAATGGAGGAAAAATAAAATCTACACAAATATTTTGACAGTGAAGCTGACTGACCAGTAGAGCAAGTTTCTAAATGTTGCTGTGGGCTGGCTTTGGTTCTCAATCCTTGAAAGTTGCTTAAGTTGGTCAGACTGTTGTTTTAAAGAAATGCTCAGATTCAAATTGTATTAATTCAAGTGAATCCTCCAACCTCTGATCTACAGGTTAGGCAAGTTGTTGTCATCCTAAATTTCAGGGCTGATGGGATTTGATGCTGTCATTCATCCATTTCCCAGAGCTGTTAGCAAGCTAGAACTTCAGGGGAACAAATCTTCATTCATGTTTTTAATAAAACATGCTGTAAGCACAATGAACAATATCCCTGTATCTGCAGAGGCACAGACCTACGCCCTACCTCACTATGAACTGAAGCTTAATCAAAAATATAGCAGATAGAGGAGAGGCTCTTTCTTCTTACATGGTGGATTGGTTTTGTTCACTGTGTTTTTAGAAAGATGTTGCCAGGCTTATGTTGGTTAAAGCTAAACAACCTGTACTCAGCTATGGTAAACATTTATTGGTAGATAACGAAATTTTTTATTTAGTATCAGTCATGAAAATTGCCTGTTTGATTCTTAGTGATCTGAGAGATTGGTTTCCTCTTAAGTGGAGAAACTGTGGTTAAAATATTCATCAGAGTGGGTTTGTTCTGGTAATGGCTGTTCTCTTACAGTCCTTGAAGATTTTTTCCAATATTCTCAAATTTTCTTCAAAATCAACAGAAACTGGTAGAAGTCCATTATCTGTATGAGAAAACGATAAGAACCATAGAGAAAAGTTTATATAGATAATTTTTATATTCAGTCATTAATAAAATGGCTTTTAATTTCTTTTTAAATGTGTAATAAAGTCAGTAGTATGTACATGAAGTGTACATATTTCTCCTAGGCTTGTTACTTTATAAATGTACCATTGACTAAAAACTACATTAAATCAAGTTAAGTCATATTTGTACAACTTAGATTGTCTCCATTAGATGTACAATGGCTTGCTCTTTAATTATGACTCTTGTTTTCCATATACCTTAGTCTTAAATGTATTTCACAGTAGCATAAAGCTGTTCCAGTAAAAGAGTTAAATATTTATTCGTATTCTGTATTAAAGAACTTTTTTTTTTTCCTGTCTATGAAAGGGTAAATATCTTTTTATAACTACCCTTGGCCATAGCAGCATGTTCTGTACAAACGTAGCTAACTGCACTGGCAGACAAACACATGCAGTTCAAAAGAATACATGAAAGAATACATTAGCACAAGAAGTGATGTTCCCTTTTGGATTCAGCTTGTATCAACATGTGTACGTGGTGCTCTCTCTGTGCCTGCCTCAGCCCTCCCCTGCACTTCTGCTGGTGGCGGTACACGTTTCTTAGTCTACCTTAGCTTTGGCCTCTGTACCATCCCAGTTGGGTTTTCTAATAACAAAGCTATGATTTTTGGCAGTGAGTGCAGCTTCTTTTCTTTTTTTCCTTCATTTTTTTCCTTTTTTTCTGGTTTTTTTTTGTTTGTTTTTCTGAGAAAGGGGTTAGGTATTGGGAAATTGTGCAGTTCAGTTGATTAAGTCACATAATTTAGGGAAAGGATGAGAAGAATAAAATTTTATTCTCCAAGAACACAAGCAAGGAGGCACAAAGTGGGTTTACAAAACAGTGTTGGTAGTTACTGGGATGACAGCACCGTCACTCCTTACTTGGGAGATGCCATCTCTTTTGTGTAACTCTTGTGGCCACTTCTGTACTGATCCAGTTGCATGCATTTCAGCATGTGCATCTTGGACATTCTCGTCAGAAATTTGGTTGCTGTATAGTTATAATCAAATAGTGAGTATTGAGGTTCCACACCCTGACAGATGCACAGTTCTGATAGGTCTCCAGGACCTGTCTAGTTGTCATGTGTTGTTAAGTAAGCTGACAAATGTGGTTGGTATCATATGAACCAAAAAGTCCTGTTTCTCTTCTGGAAGAATTGAGTTCTTCCTACCTATATGTTTCATAAACAGAATTTATTGCAGCTGACTCCTGCCTCCTGCCCTCTTGGGGTGATGGGACCATGGTGGAGTTGAGAATCAGGCCCAGTATATGCATATGTGCCTTGTTTGCTTAAACTTGAGGAGAACAAAAGACATGAATAAAGCCAAAATACTGATACGTTAATTCATAGCTCTGAAGTAAAACCAAGAAAATATAAACAAATGTGGACATGTGAATTTACCTTTGTGTATGTACATAATTTCTTCCTAGCTTTGCTGCTTCTCATGCTCATAATTTTTTTTTTCTCCTTTTCCCAGAGTAACCATTTTTTTATTGTAGCTACATAGGAGTTAGTAGACTGTAGAAGCAGGGAAGCAATAAAGAAAGAAACACCAAAAGAGACTGCATCCAATTCCTTACTTTGTGTTGCAATACAGACTGCCTTTATATCTGTTGCCTTTGAAAATTAGTGTTTAGTGACTAATTATTCAGGGTGATGTGGCAGAGGAGCTAGCGGCTAACTCAGAACAGAAACAAGCCTTAATTTTTAAGCATATTTGAAACACTGCAGTTGAATGTTGAGGAGCCACAACTGTTTCCTCCTCAATTACTGGAGTTTTGATGTCCCTCTGGCTTCTGCCACAGCTGTGGGTGTGGAGGGGCAGGTCAGCAGTGAAAAGACTCCTCAGGACTTTGCCAGGAGCTGAAGGTGCTTTGGGGCTACCGATTGTCCCCAGTTTACATCACTTCAGGCTCTGATTTTAGCTGTAAATTTAGAGGAATTGCCTAACTTGGCTGAATTGACTGCTGCTTTTCTGGCCAGGTAGCTGAAGTAGTCTGACCCTTTGGTATCAATATTTTTACTTTGTAGTAAGCAAAGAATGAAATTTAACCCAGCTCAAGCTGCTAAATTTTGATTTTTGACTTAAACTAGTGGCAGACTTTTGAATACTAATGAAAATTCAAAATCATAGCATGCAAAGTTATCACTGATCCAGTTTACCTGATGACTTAGTTTGGAGGAGGGAAACAATTAAAGAGCTACTGTATAGAGTAACATCCTTCCAAAGAGAAAGCTGGGGCTGAGAATGAGCTGTGTCCTGGCATGTTTGTACAGAGAAAGCCCACACTCCAGGGCAAAAAATGTAGTTTGGCCTTCAGGATCTGTGCTTGATCATTTTTGCAGGAAGTGGAGGAAGCTGTGTTACAAGGAATGATCAAAATGTAGAGCATCTGTATTGTTATTTTCAAAAATTATTATTCCCTGCTTGCCAAAGAAATGGCTGCTTAATCTCTCTTTCTGGATGTCCATCATCTTACCATGGATAGCTGTAAATCATCAAGAGGTACAGAAGGAGAAAACATCAACTTCCATCATATTCAAGTGCATGCTAAAATGGTTAAGATCCAAAAAATAAAGAAGGTTTGGCATTATTTAATAGAGATTTTATTGCAAGATCTGTTTTCTTAACTTTAATATTAGAAGATTTGTCACTTTGGGAGGACAAAGCATGACTTACTAACAGACAATGCTGCAAAATAATTTTAATGAGTGTTTTGAATGTTCTCTAAAGGAGACAAAATATTTTCGTTTAGAGTTGGCATGTGCCTTCACTGCAGTCTTTAGAGCATCCAAGCACAGAGACCTCATGCTTGAAACAAGGTGAAACAAAGTGGCTTTCTGTTGTAGGTGCTCCGCTGCCTTTCTATACAGAATTTACGAGTAAAGATGCTGTAGTGAGCATCATCAGAAAGCAGTCGAAAGCCTTAGTAGAAGGAGCTACTTCTGTCTTCCCAAGGCTGGGGGCTTTACCTGCTCGATCTTTGCACTGTTGAAAACATCACTGAGTGTGATGGAGACAAGCCTCTGTGAGAGCATGGTCTCTAAGGACTGGCTTCTAGTTTACAACTGTCTGCTGGTTTCAGAGACCCATTTAATTATGGATTATTTAGTTTTGCTAGTTCTACCTAAAGTTGGAAGGAAAGAAATCCCAGCTGAAATGCACTGTAGTGGACTGTATTTTATATTGTATAGCAATTTTTTCAATTTTGTCAATATAGTTACTTTTCAGTGCCTATAAGTGCTTGCTATCAGGTGTTCACACTTTTAAATTTCAATTTTACTTTGCTTACAGCTTACATAGAGAGCCTGGAGATGCATGAGAGAAGAAAGGTGGTATGGAGAGGTTTTAGTAGATGGCCTTTTATGTGGCTCTTTTTGGTGAAAATTTCTACATCTTTATGGCTTGCTGTTTTCTTTTCAAAGGTTGGAGAACCTACAACATATTGAAGGGTGGGCTGTTTATTTTCCTTGTGTTGTTTTTATGTACTGAAATATTGTAGTGAAATGGGTGGGGTGTAATCAATGTTTCCAAAGACCTTCCTTTGAAAGGCGTTTTTCCAGCCCTTGGTGGTCACCACCCATTTTCCTGTGCTGTGCAGGCCTCTCTCATTGTTCCTACCCACAAAGGCCCCTTGTGTGAACCTGTCAGCAAATGTGCCAACACAGCAAGCTAAAATGTCATGAGATACTGATCCAAGCCTGCTGAAGCCCCAGGGTTTGCCCCCACAAATGTTGGTGGGTATTGCCCAAGGCACAACACAGGGTTAGATCTAAACCTTGGGATTTGTCAACAATGCTCTGGATGACTCTCTGAACTGTTTACGGTTGAGTGGGTTTGGGGCTGAAGCGTAGGTACGCATACCACTGATAGCTAAGTAATGCAATGGCACTGTTTGTCCCTTAGGCTTGAAATAAAGCCTAATTGAAAAATGGTCCCTGTTTACCTGCAGTTGCACCATCTTGTTAGATAATGCCTGGTTGTGGTTTAGTATGGGCTGGGGATGTGGTCAGTGCCCCATTAAAAAATGAGGCTGGTTTTGAATTTAACTATGGGGCCCACCACCCCCCCAGCCTGCAAATTGCACTTCATTCACCTTTAGCTTTAGCCCCTGTTGAAGAGATAAAGTACATCCTTTCATATGTGTTTTTTAGAGTAGGTAAATAGTTGGGTTATCGGAAAACAGATCTTAGCAATACCTGCTGAGCCTTTGAGCAACAATGTGTATGGACCTCTAGATTAGCTGTCAAAATTGACTGATTACTACAAGTAATGCCCCAAGATAAGGATCTGTAATCTCTCAAACACAAATCATTGATAGACATCTGGGGTTGTGCATTGTCATACCTAACCTTATCGCTATGACTACAGTGCAATTCCAGGAGAGAAAAGCAGAGTGATACATTTATCAAAAAAAAAAAAAAAAAATTGGCTTATTTTAAAGTTCAGTTTTGGCCAATGTTGAAACAGACACTTCTTTGTGTTGTTTAGAGTGTTTGCTGCTGGGCCTTCTTTAGTCTACATGTTATCTCTGAAGCTTGCCTTGTCTTGGCTGGTGTCAGAGTTGATTGCCATAGGGAAGGAATCAATGATTTGATGGAGCAGAGCAGTGCAAAACCAGTGTGGGGAGGGAAGACCTGAGCTGAGATGATTGGCTGGTTCACTGTGATTTGACCATATGCTATCCTCCTTGTTTCTTTCCAAATGTCCCTAGTACTGGAGAAGATGGAGGATGTGTTTCTCTGATCTGTTTTTAATGTGGGCAGCAGCAGCTTTACAAAGGTCACCCAGAGCTGTTTCGACCCTCTGTGAGCAGCACTGGTACTTTCTGAGCATACAGTAAGTTGGAGCAGGATACTGCACTTCCTGAAAACTAACCCAGAGTAAAGTCATCTAGCCCTAATATAGGCAAAAAGCCAGTGCCACTATCTGCTCTAACAGCTGATCTGTAGCCTGGCATCTTGTCTGCACACTGTGGGCCTTAGGTGGTTCCGTGGGGCTGTGCCTTGCCCCAGACACAGAGCATTTGGCACATCCTCTGAGGTACCAGGCTTGTGCTGGTGTGGCAGCTGTGGGACAGGCTGGCACTTGGCATCGTAAAATAATCCAGGAAGAGATTAATGGCTGTGAAATCCTAACTTATCTTTCTGTTCAAGGTACTCATAAAACCAGAGAAAAAAAGGAAGAACATAAATCCTTAGACATTGTTTTGCTTACTATGATTAAATTTATCAGACTCTGTTGACATATTGTGAACCTAAATGCTTTAAAAAATGGCAGTGCTCCTGCAGCGTCAGTGAGGTTTACAATATTGAACTTCCAAACTGATACATAGTTGCTGTGATAACTTCAGTATTTATAGTAATACCTTAAATTGCTCTTACAAAGTGTTTTTCTTTTAGTAGCTGCTTTAAATGCAGTTAGTGGTATAAATAATGCCAGGGCTATAAACATTTTAAAACTGTATAGGTATAATGCTTTTTGTGTTAGTACCACCCGTTTTTCCTTTTTATTTTCAAAAATCAGTGCCAAGAACGTTCATGAAAATAGAGTACAAACCCAATAGCTTTTAATTATTATGACTAAAGGTACAATCAGAGATTCAGACAGAGAAGTTATAGTCTTATGTGTGCTTTTAAATTTATCCCCTGTCAAGAAAACCTGTTCCTGGCTGTGTTACTGTCAGCTGTGAGGGTCTTGGAGTGATATGGACCTAGTGAATCATAAATATGTTTGAAGGTACCAAAACTTTATTTAGGCCTCATTTCTTGATGTTGTAATTGTAGTAGCCAAATCCTCTATTGCTGTGCCAAGCATCCTAATGAGAATGGAAATTAGTTCCTCATTCTTAATGCAGGCTCTTCCTCCCTCTCTCCCTGACACTCAAATTTCTTATTTTCCTATCATCTCACCTTTGGTTTTAAACTATGGTGAAGAAATTGCATAAATATTGCTTATGCCAGTAGGTGCCAAGCTTTGCTGAACTAGCAAGTATTTTTTTTATTTAATGAGTATGTACAGAAACACAAGAAATCCCTCAAACAAGCCAAGGAGCTTGTGGTGAGTTACTGTAAATTAGGGCAGCTTTAAAGGAAGGGTGGAAGATACTTAATTTCCTTTTTTTGTAATAGCACTTTCTGTTAGTAGCCTTTCTTGTTACCTTGAAAGTTTCATTTCCTTTATTAACAAATTCCCTCTTTTGGCATCCTTTGAGTTTGTTTTGTCTGTGTACTGGGTACTGTATCCCAGTGGGCAGCAAGTGCTGCTTTAGCACTTGCCCTCCATGAGCACTCCACATATTTCAAACTGGTTTTGTTGTTTTTTTTTTTATCTGCCTGAAAATAAGCATGTCCTTTCCCTTTCACTTTTGCTCTTGCTGGTGTGCTGAACCAGGCATCTGGTGGCTTCTTTAGAAATAGTTATTTTCACTGGAAAGAGGTATAAGGAGGGATCTGCATGGCACTGTGTATGGGTTTCCTTCACAGCTTTCATAGTTTGGCCTGAATTTGTGGTTAGTGAGTAAATTCCTGCTTCTAGCACTTTTTATTTACCCATGGTCTTTTATTACTTTAACAGAGGGAGCTTTCAAAAGCACAGCATGTCATCCAGAATAAACTGCTTGTCAGGTAGAATGGTTACAAATACTTTTCAAAGGAATTTTAAGGCTAAGCAAGCATTGACTGTTGGCTGCTTGGTGTCTGCAAGCACATCTCTGGGGCAGTCAAGTGGTGTGGTTCTGAGATAGCAATGGAGTGCCTCAGAGTCAGCAAAACTCCTTTTTTATTATTCTGGTTCAAATCAACTAGGGATTTGCCAAGCAGAAAGTAATGCAAAGTAGAAACTCGGCAAAAACTGGATTTTCTAGTTTGAAATAAGTATTTTTTGTTATCTAAGGTAATATTGCCTATTAAAATACTTCTATTGAGTTTTTACAGGTTTAATTTGAATTTTTTTATGCTAAGCATCTGATTTTTCATTTATCTGAACTGTAAAGTATTTTCTTATCTTTTCATTCACAATGTATTTTTCTTGTTTTGCAAGTCAGCATGTGATGCTTTAAACTATTTGAAATGAGTATTTTCTAGAGAAATTTCATGTGACAACTTAATAAACTGTGGATTCTTGACCTTTAAAGTGCTGAAGCTAGAAACATTTAATAATATCATAATAACAACATAATAACCAGCCATTGGATATAAAGTAATATGCGTGTTGTTTTACTAGTGTGCATACATGGCAGTTTGAAACAAAGTCCAAGGGTCACCAAAATCATGAAGTTAACTCAAGCGGGTCTGTCTGAACTGTGTAATTCAAAGTGCTGTCCGGATGTGTCACACAGTGTAGGTATGAGTGAAGGCTACCGGGTTACTTAGAGATATTTTTCTGCAAGGTGTGCATTTCAGTTTCTCTGAAAGCTTCTGTGATCTGGAGCCTGCACAGTGGGAGTGCAATTCAGTGCAGTTGCTGCACTGCTGAATTTTACACAAGTGTGTGTGTGTGCGTGTACAACCTGAGTATTGACCCACGTGGACTTGTGAAGAGCAGCGAAACATCGAACAGAGGATTGCTGTCCTGGCAAGTCCCCTTCATCAGCTTAGAGGAGGCCACCAATGTCCTTGACAGAAGGGAGGACCCCTGACGCTGACTGCCTGGCACCCTCATCAGCTGAGTGGGTACCGAGGGCTTTGAGGGGGTTGGAACAGGCTGCGGGAAGGACCAGGCAGATGTATGGGTGGAGGTGGTGGGCAGGGATTACTGGTGGACATGAAGTACTAGTGGGATTGAAACTGCAGAGAGCAAATACACAGTCAGTGGAAATAGGACTGAAACCTCAGCTCAGTCCCTGACTGCTGAGCTGAGAGGGTTGTGTGGGTGCCTGACCAAACTTTGGATCAGTGAGTGACTCCATGTACAGAAGCTCCCAGGTGGGGGATGATCTGTGTGCCTCATTGTTTGTGGTGCTGATTCTGTGTCCGAGGTGCCTTCTGAGGATGCTGCAGCAGAACAGTGGCAGCAGTGCATCCCCTGGTTGAGGCTGGCTGCCTCAGCGGTTTTCCTGGCTGCTGGAGCCCAGAGCTGTCACAGCAGTGGGCACTGGGAAGGCAATTCCTAAGCTGACATGGTAGTTTTGCAAGATTGTTTAAATGAGATGGGTTATGTGGGGTTTCAGGTTTTTCCAAGAAGTTGCCATCCCTGGAGTTTCCAGTCCTGCAGTAGGAGAGGCTACAGAAAGTCATATTATGGTCTTCACCCTGGGCGTGCAAGACCTTTGTCTGCAGGCATTCCTACTGATTTCGTTGAAGCTGTGTTGCAAGGGCCTGCCAGACATGAGCAAGGAGATAGGAATCTGGCTCCTGGGATCCATGCAATACATTCCTACATCACCTGGGGTGTTTTCGCCTGGTGGGATCAATAGCTCTGTTCCTGGGCATGGGACTAGTTTGGTGTTTGGATTCCAGGGAGAAGCATGGAGAACTGCTTATGAAAATTTGGAAGCTTCACCTGGGAGTGCAAATAGTTGCCAGTTGTTTGTCATCTATTCTCACGTGCATTGGTCCATAAATTCTATTTTCAGAGTGCAAACTAAACCCACTAGGAGGGACTGGGAAATCATGTAAACAGCTGTCCCGAGGGTACAGTGCTGTACTTGTGTTCTGTGTCACAGAACTGCCTGTGCCTCTGAACTTTTCCTTTCCCAATGGCTTGCATGCCCATAAGCAATGCAGCACAGCGCGTCATCCAGCAGCCCTGGGAGAGTCCTTGCTGGGAAGCAGCACCTCCCTGTTCCTTCTCAAGTCTCCTTTTATGTAGCCAAGTCCTGATGGAGTCACCAGACACATTCCTCAGCTTGGCTTCCCCATTTCCAAAAGAAATTAGAGCTTCTTCTTTCCTTTCTTGGTTTATTTGTACCAGTTATGCTGTGACTGCAGCGTGAGGGTGCAATGTGCAGCTCAGTGGAGTCTTATCCTGCTGGACAGTCCTGGGACTTGCGAAGAACCAGGTGTCCAGGAGCTTCCTGGAGGCTTACCTTGGAATACCCTGGGGCTTTGGACCAGCATATGGGTGGCTTCATTTGTGGTGGCTTTCTCTGCTCTCCCCTCTTTTCTTTTAGAAATCTGTCAGAGTGGGTGAGGTTTCTGCTTGCATTGCTTCTCCAAGCAGTGACGCACACATGTACTCTTTTTCTGCCGCATAAGTGGGTGGTTTATGTGCTAGGAGGGAATGATTCATAAATTAGCCAGAGCCCAGGCCTTTTCTCTATTGCCCAGGTGATGTGTGAAGAGGATTCAGTGTCAGCCTTTATTTCCTCCTGGCCTTCAGTTGTGCAGGTTGCTGTGCAGTCACTTTACCACTCTCCAGCTATGGGTGGTCCAGCCTCACCCAGGGTGAAATGCTAATCCATGTGGGGGTAACTGCAGAGAGAATTATTAATGGCCTACAGTCTGCAAACAAAAATCATGAAAATGCTGCTTTTTGCAGAATTCTGTCACTCAACTGCTATTTTGGGAGTCTTTTGCAACCAGGACAAGTAAGCACAGAATGACAATCTTTGACATGAACATCCCTGGGAGGTACAGCAAGCAAGCGTAGATGGAGGGTTTGAGTGCGGAGGTGGCAGGGGGGCATTTTGGGTCTTGGTTGGGCTTATGCTGCCCTGGCTACAATAACAACACAACTCAAGGGTGTGCTGTGTGAGAGGAGATGGGGAGGAAAATTGAGGTCCAGGAAGCCACAAGGGGGAAATGCTTAATGGACAAGTTGTTTGTTTATTTAAAATACAATGAATGAGCAAAAAAGTCTTTTGAAGGCAACCAGGCAGGCTGATTCCTTCCCTTGTTTTCTGATACGAGAAAGCTCTTGTGTGGTGTGTAATGAACGGAGATGTCTCTCTGCAGGGGACCTTAGCAGGACAGTCAGAAACAGTGTTGAGGGAAAGCATCTGCAACAGAGAGAGAGAGAGAAAATCTTTCTCTGTTCATAGTGTTAATTATTAGAAACCTTGAGCAACCCATGGTTATTGAAACCAGCTTGTCTCATTAGCCACACTTCAAAACTATATTTACAGAGGTTAGAAAACTAAATATTTTTCTTTGTGGCTGCAGTAGTGTCATGAGAGACCCTGTCTGATACAACCTGTTTTTTGTGTATAAATTGTGACCTGTCTTTGGCCTTCGTTCCCAAAGCTTCATATTTAAATGAGATGGGATTGGATCTTGTTTTGCCCAAGCTGGTTCTAATGTGAAAATTGTGGCCTCTAGATTTAGAACAGAGCTCAAACATTTATGGTTGAAGTTATATTTTTCAAGCGACAATTGGAAATGCTCACAAATACTGCTACATAGTTTGTTCTGTTTGGGTTTTTTTGCTTCTACTCTTTTATTTCCTTGGTATAATTAGAAACTGAGATTTGTTCCCAGTCTAGCATCTGTATAGGCACAGAATAGGCACATTTTTCTTTAGAGAGAGCAAGACATGTTTCTAAAAGTACCATCAGTATAAGTATTATACATGACTCTCCTGTAGCCAGCACTGGCTGCAGGAGAACATGGGACATTTTTTGTTGTATTTTCTCAGATAGGTGTAAGAAGGGACTTTTTTTTTTACATGGATATAGTATGACTTTTTCTTGGCAAGGAGAAAAGTAATGAGTTAGTGTCACCTTGTGAATTTCCTTTAGATTTAAACTTAGGTGACTTGATGGACGATTCAGCAATACCCCTGAACTATTTCTTGAAGTTGGATCCTGCCATTATGTACTGGAATGTGTCAGTTTCCTCCAGCTCACACCTCCTGTAAGAGAGACCATGTTATAAAACAATCACCTTGGGCAAAATAATTGTGAAAGAAGATTGCTGAGGGCTGATCGTGGACCTTGAGAAGATACTGTAAGAATGTGAGCCCCCTGCCCTGTTGTTAGCATACCCACTAGTGAGCACCTGTCTGATCCCACATATGTGCCCAGCTTCTTGTGTTTCACAGCACAAGGGCCCTGCTGATCTGTTGTGATCTCGCTGCTTTGAGCGATGATGTTGAGTGTCCAGCCTTGTTGAGCCCCAGCACATACCTTATTGTGACTTTACTCTTGGCATTTAATGCACATCCTGGCTGTTTCTCCTTCTTACTAATTTATGAAGCCTCCTGTGGTTATGCTAGAATGCTAAAAGCTCCTGCAGACTGTCTAAGTCTTCAAGAAACAAATACTCTACTATGGATTAATACTCTTTTTCTATTTAGGCAGTTTTGTGTGAAACCAGTCATGATTGAAACAGTTTCTAGGATTAAGTAATGTGATTAATACTTGTTTTCCTCATAATCGTCATGCAACAGAATACATTTATTAAAATTCCTTGTTTTGATAGGGTGGGGTTTTTTGGTTGGTCCATTTTTAGTTTACAGACTCATTATTTTATATTGATGTTGGAAAAAACAAGTTATAATCTGCTTCATTTTTGGGAGCCCCGCAAATGGACACAGATGCTGCTGGTGATTCTGCAGCCAAAACAGCAAAAGCAGAGGAGCTGTTCTACTTAGCGCCCTGTTCTGTGCTCAGTCAAGTGGCACTGGTAGACTGTTGCAAGAGTTGGCCTGAAAAGAAATGTATTCTGTGTTGGTGTGACTATAATCCTCAACTGCAAAACCTCAACTAGTGCAAGTGTAGGCACTCTTAGTATCAGCAGAGCTAAGTGGGGTTGAAATGGCTCATGGTTTTAAATGGCTTCAGATGCTTCATGTTCTGAAATAAGAATTGTACTTCAGTACCTTAGAGTCAGTAGAAATCACTCTTAAAATGTCGTATCCCGGAACCATTAGAAATGTATTCCTTGTGCTTCTCACATGTTAAATTTAGCTTTATGTCCTTTGGTGGCTTAAATTTGCATACTTGCTTCATAAAATGCCTTCCCCTTTGTTATTTCCTGCCCTTCTGTTCTTCATGAAGTTTGAAGAAGGTTGGCCTTATTGGTTGTTTTACTCAAGAAAGGATCTATTTTCATAGACAATGGAGAAATGGTGATTTAATTAGAACAGCTTCTCCAAAGAAGGGCTATCTTGCAAGCAGCAGTATTTTCCATTTTGTGCTCTTCATGGTCAAAGAAAGATGGCTTTCTGAACAGGTTTTGGATTAAGAGCTAAGACGGTTCAAGACCAACACAATTTGGTACTCTATTACTACTTTTCTTTTAATGTGGATTGCAGCCATTGAAACTCCACAACATTGTTGCATCTATGTCACACCCATATTCACTATAACTATTCTAGCATTAAAATGTATTGCCACTCTGTCCCAGAGTAAGTAAATTTAGATTGAACAAACAAACAAAAATATTTTAATGTTTCCCAAATCCCAGAAGTAGTAGTTTGCTGTTTCATTTTGAATCTCTTGCCTAAGGTAGATTTCAATCCTGTTGTACTGCATGGGGACTCAGGGCGTTCAAAGGCTGACTCATGTACAATTGGAGGCCTTTCCAGCTATGGCAGTCCTCTCCTAATTCCTATTCAAATGGTACAAATAGGTATTAAAGCCTGGCCAACTGATTTCAAACACTTGATAGAATAGATTCATTGCTGAGATGTGCTCTTATAAATACCTCTCAAGCTGTGAATCGCATTTCAAGAAATGCTTTTTTTTTTCTTTCTCTTTGTTACCTATCAGGAGCAGTTCCGAACGGAGGAAGGAGAAATCGAGAGATGCAGCAAGATGCAGAAGAAGCAAAGAGACCGAGGTTTTCTATGAACTGGCACATGAGCTGCCCCTGCCCCACAACATCAGTTCCCACCTGGACAAGGCATCCATAATGCGCCTGGCAATCAGTTTTCTACGGACTCATAAGCTTTTGTCTTCAGGTAAGATCTGGCTAAAAGAAGTTATTTGCCTGGGCTGGCTGATGGCAGCTTGGTAAGATTATGCATGCTCTTCTCTGACTACAGGGTTACCAAAAGAATAATTAGAACAGGTTTTTTGCATCTCTAAATAAAACCTCTGAGACAACTTGAATGTGGTTACATTCAAGTCACAAGATTTTGAGCTTTCAAAAGTTTAATCAGAATTCAAACATATGCTTTAAGCTTCCATACTGAAGCAAATAATTTTTGATTTGGTGTGGCAAGCACGTTCATGCCTGCACATTCAAATAGCAGCTGGGATGCTCTGAAGGTCCAGTACTTGGTTTGAAAGGAGTAATACTGGCCAAGAGTAGTAGGTAGGTAGCTATACTAAGATAGCTAAAACAATTTCTAAATACTTGATGCGAGTGGATTCTACACAATTTTGCTCATGTTGGACTAGTAGGAAACATGAACAAGCATAATTTTTATAGCCTGTGAAAACTGATAAAATTAGAACTATTCTTATTTTGCCCCATACTTGAATAACCACTTTGATAGAAATTCGTGGCTTGAGTAGCCTGTAAGATCAATGAAAACAACTGATGTTTCCAGAACTTTCACACAGTGACCTATGAGTGTTGAGAATACATTAAGAAAACAATGCTTGCATTGTTTGTGAATGGTAACCCCAGAATTTTGTCTTTTCCTTGATTAATGGCAAGACTCCCAATAAGGTCACGATTGCACTTCCTCTACTTAGAAAAGTTGAGTCATACGAGAGCAATTACTTTAATAAATGTTACTAGGAAGCATCCAATTTTGTTGCTGAATTTGCTGTTGGTTAGTCTGAAAGATACGGTAAATTCAATTCTGCTTCTATGTGCTCAGTAATTTATTGTAGCATTTTTGGGTTTTGCTGAAGCCCACTGTATAAAATGTAGGTATTTTATCTTAGCTTATATAATGTAGTTTTATCATGTACTTCTGTGAAAAGAGAAGTTGATGTGCTGAACAGTGTTTGGAAACCATCTCTGATTCCGTAACATAATTCTGATTATGTAACTAATACTTGAAGTAGTTGCGTAAATAGGTAAATGTTCTTAAACAAAGCCAATTTGTTAGTAACTTTCTCATAAAAACACAGCCTCAGCTTTTCAAATATTTATATGGAATGAACTGGAGACTGAAACACCATAGGAAAAGTAAACTTCTGAGAGGCTGTAACCGATAATACAAGTAATGTGCGTGCCTGTGAAAATTGATATGAAATAGTTGGATGCAGTCATCATCAGAAAAATACATTTGCTAACCTGCTAAGATTAAAGTGAACTTTTCAAATTAATTTACATTTCTCAGTGAGGAAAAAATCTACTGACTAATACATTTATTTTGATGCTTCTATACTGTTAAGGCTTAGACTCATTATTTGATAGTGATGACAATTCAGTATATGTGTATAATATTCATACATACACATAAAGATATTATATTTCTGAGACATATTTCTGTACAGTGTTTGAAATATAATGTGTTTCATGTAGACAATTTACATTTTCATTAAGTACCACCAGTACCCAGCAGGAGAAAAGAACCTGGAAATAAAATGTTAGAATAGCAAGAGGCTGTGCTTTAATATTTCATGCTTTCTCTATATTAGTTATTTGCTTAGCCTTAAATCTGATGCATTCACTTCCTCAGTCCAAGTATTTACTTGGAGTAAATCCTCTCATTAAAATTTGTGTTGTTAGTCAAATGGAGATTTGTCTGTAGCTGCATCTTTAGGCACCAGAGGTGTAGATAAGAGTTTCAAAATCTTAGATGCTTCTATCCTTGTAGACCTCTGAATAATGTCAGTCTTTATAAGGACACTGGCTTTCACTCAAAGGCCATCCAGTTTAATTCAGAGTGGTAGGTTTTTGATGCAGTTGGAAGCTTACAAGTCAAGAGGTTGCTGCTTATCCGTTTTGATTAGTGTGAAACAAGATTGAACATGGGCTTGGGTGATGTTTGTGCCCATTCTGTTCTTCCTTCTGCTTTGGACCCTTTCTGAGCCCCAAGCAAAGCTACAGCAAAGGTTTCATGTATGTGTTTAGCAGCCTGGAATTTCACCATAAATATACTGTTGCATTTGTCAACAACTTACTGTTGCAAGTCAAGTCTGACTTGACTGACAAGGAAACTCTTGATAGAGTTCTTGATAGATGAACTGGGAAATGGGGAGGTGGAAGGGCATAGAAGCAAATGCCCACCCCAGGCTGCAAACACCCTCTTTGTTTTATGTTGTCTTTATTAAATGGTTTTGATTATTTGGGGTGGACGTCCACTGTAAACTGGAGTTAAGTGAGTGTATTTGTTCTGTCAGTGATTGGGATATTGAAATAACATTTGCTGCAGCTTGAAAGAAACACTTCAAAATGTGATAGAGAAAAAACTACTGCTTTATCACTGTTTTGCTTGTTTCTAATTTAGTCTTTCAAAACCTACTAGCACACCATATTTTATTTTGTTACTGTTTGTGGGCATGATTCTCAAACACATCTCTCTGTTTTAAGGCAATTTTGCCTGATGTAGAGAGAACAAGGCCTTTCCCAGGACTGTACCCTCATCTTTCTGCAAGCTGATGCTCCAGGTGGGATTTTGGAGATGGCCAAAGATAGGCAACTTGCCAGTCTCACTCCACTGGCATTGAGTGTCTCATGCCCTTTCCTATTACTCCCTGAGTCAGAATAGGGCTTTTCACTTGTGTAACTCAGGCTGTTTTATTAGCTGTGTCTGCATAATGATCTGTTGGGAAGCCAAGACCTAGGGAAATGTATACCCACATTCTTCCAGCAGGTGAATGGTAGAGCCCCTGAATTTGAGCCCTCATTGAGAGCTCTCCCACTACGTGCCTCGAAAAATCCCGACTTCTGGATTGCAGAGTGCATGTCTCCTGCAGGCATTGCAGGGCCCGAGCTTGGCCCTTGGATCCTATCATAATAGGAAATAGCTGGTTGTATATCTCAGAGTTCAAAAGGGTAAAAAATACCAGGTTTTGCTTTATAAAAGTTGCTGCTTTACTTAGTAACACATTTCCCTTTGATTTTCACAGTAGGCAATTCTGTGTGGGAATGTTGGAGAGGAAGCCTTTAACATTTAGAAATGCAGGCTGTTCGTCTGACGGCCTGATTGAGATTAGTATCACAGGAAGCAAACTGAAACAATGGCTTTATAATACTGTTTCCATGTTGTGCACAGAACAGTACACCATATAATTGGAATGCTAAGTAGAAATATTTAATTATGATAATCTTAAATATTTTTCAAGATGTCTCCTAATTCTGTTGGCATAATACATTTTTGCCATCGTCACATTCAGATGTTTGGGATAAATTTAGAACTGATCTTTGTTCATCTCAGGTAAAGGTTTTGATCCCATAAAGCTGCTGCTGAAAATAGGCATTCAGATGCTTATCAGTAGTGGAGCTTTTGGATTTGGGATCTTATGTCCTTTAGTGTGGTCAGAAAAACTGTAAGCAGTACTTTTCCCGTATTATTTCCCAGTATAGCTAGTATGTAAGGCTAATGCTGTTTGGGGAGCTAATAGTTGGCAAAAGAAAAATAATGGCTTTTGCTAAAGAGTGGCTGCCTTGGTTAACAGCTAACATTGTGATAGATGCTAAGGCTGCCTCAGGTATCCTCTTTTGGTCTGATTATGAGAAGGAGAATCCATTTTAGGAAGCCTGTATGCACAGTGCCAAAAATTTTCAGTGTTTATTTGAACCATGCTGATACTAAAGGTGTTATAGGAACCAGAACTCTCTGCAGTGAATTTCTGTGTGCAAGGACTACGGACTTTTTAATCAGGCTAATCAGGCAAACACAATTTTTTTGGCTTGCCTCAATCCCATCCCAATTGTGTGGTCACCTGGGTGTCTTTTCTGTGCAGAAATCCAGCAAAGGAAACTGGCTGAGAGTTGTTCTTGTGCAGGCAGACAGCAGCAGAAATGGGGAGGGAACAGGGATACAGACAGGAAGTTGTTTGGGAGAAGGGAGGCCACAAGGAAGCCAGTGTGAAGGTTTCAAGGGAGGGAGACAACAGAGCCGGAAAGCCAGCAGGGAGCAGAAGGGGAAAAAATAGCTTTTCTCTAGGCTTTTAAGGGAGAGGATAGACTGTAGGGAGAACTGATGTGGGCATTGTTTTTGAATGTCTGGACAAGCTGTATCTAATGTCAGGCCATTGTGGCATAAAACAGTGCTTTGAAAATAGCATGTCTACTCGATTGCTTTTATTAAATTGGAAAAATAGTTTTATGCCTGTTGCTAGGAATGAGAGTGAGTCAGGTGCTGAGTGCTTCAGCTGCTTGAAGTGATGTCCCTTTTCAGGGAAGGTGTACCCAAAGGTCCCATGGGAGTCAAATCCTGGTCTGATGAGGTGCTGTATTCCCAACGTGCAACAGTGGTATCTGCAGGACTCCAAGCAAGTTCCTGGGAGTAGCATCTGAATGATTTGGCTAAATACAAACTCTGCAATCAAAGCAACACTAACATAAGTGTTTTCTTTATCCAGGATTGCTTGTGCACTTGGAGATAAGAGCCCTTCAGGAAGCTTCAAGTTTAAGAGTAGCTTTTTCTTGATGTATCTAAATTGAAAGCTTTTATTGAACACATTGAAAATATCCCCTTGAACAGGATGTACTGCCCTGTCAAGACAGAAAAAAAGGGGGAAAAAAATCAGTCACTTTCCTTTGATGGAAAACAAGAAACCAGGAAGAGACAAGTTTGTCTGAAAGCTGCTCTCTCTGGTGCAGGACGAAGCTGCTGTTATATCTTCCCTAACTTTTGCCTGTGGACATCAGGCAGATTTTACAACCCTCTTCTGGAGTGGCAGCTGTAGCCTGGTGTCAGTTATGCACAATATGTAAGCAGCTTACTGGTACTTATGAGATGTAAGTATGATGAGAGAAAAAGCCAGGAAAATTTTGTGCAGGTGATGATTGTGACCTCCAGTAGAAATTCATTTTATTATTGTCTACCTCTGAACTGACCAGAAAGACCCCTTTGAGTCAGATCAAAGGTGTTGAGAGGAGTTACAGGCTGTTTGCTGGGAGGTTGTTTATACCTGTGCAGTTATTTTTTTTAAGGAGAAGCCTGATTTTTGAGCCTTCTGACTTGTTCCAAGAGGTTGGACTGAAGGAAATGAGCAAGCATCTACGGAAAAAGTGTTCTTAAACTTGGGAACAGTGCACATCCTGACAGTGAGAATTAATCAAAGCTTGTTTACAAAACTTATTTTTAGCATAAAAGGTTATCATAAACACTGCAAAAAGCATTTGCTGTAACAGTTCAAAGTTTCTTGTCAATTATCTTGTCAAATTCAGTTTGGTGGTTAGAAAATTTGTCAAAGTAAATACCAAAATTTAATACAGACTTAGACATGGACTGAAAAATGCTGTATCAAAATTCAAGAAATACTGCCTTTGGGCAAAGTGAGCAGTGGATTATCCTCAAATACTGAGACATGGGACACCACTGCTGTATTCCCAGTTCTCCTGTTGCTCTGACAGTCCCAGGAAAGCCACAGCAGCAGTTTTATGAGGCTTTTTGACATGTTTCAACATCTCCCAATCTCCCCTAGACAGGGATTCTCCTCCTGTACAGACTTTCCACCTTTACATGAATGCAGTCTTGGCTGGGGTCTATCAAGTAGCTATAATATGAAAAACAATTTTACTTCATTCTGCTGAATATGCTGTTAATTTAAACTGGCATATTTGCAGTCCAGTCTCCCTGCTGTACTGTCATGGTGCCTGAAGTGAGTTACTCCCTTTAGTTGAGGTGAGGTGGAAAAAGTTGTAGAAAAAAACCCTGAAACACATCCTTATTTTTAAATTTAGCTAGCAGCTATTTTGAAATGCAATGCTGACAAAAAACCCAATCAAACAAAAAAAAAAACCCCACCCCTAAAAATCGGTATAAACTGAGTCTCACTGTTACACTTCCCAAAGACTTGCAAAAGACTACATGAGGTGCTGCTCTCTAGATAAAGTGATCTCAGACCTATTGTAAACCCAAGGCTGAAGTTCTGTTCTCACCTACTCACGCTAACTTCCAATGCCACTTCCATTTGGTCCCAGCTTTCTCAAATATTTTCCATTTGAAGCTGAATTTTCTTATGCTAATGCTTTAGTTCAGCTCCAGGTAAATTAACAAAGACAATTTAAAGCAAAGTGAAACACAATCAGGGTTTCAGGGAGGAGCTTGCAGTAGCCATGTCATTATTTGTTTTGCATCTGCAAAATAGCTTCTTTGTGAAGCAAACCAGATTTTTGCTAGTGGGAATGACTGAATTTCTTCAGATGTATCACTCTCCTAAAGTGTGTATATCCTTTGTGTATTAGTAGCTAGTGGTTTCCACAGAGAAGGGGAACGTGCTCTAACGCTGACACTGCAGCCATAGGAGAGACTCCTATTTATTATTTATATTACTATAATTATACCAAGTTACCTGATACAGGGCATGGCAGGGCTGCCACAGTGCAGCTCAGCATATTTCTTTGCTGCAGACTTAGGATCCTCAGGTAGCTGATCTGCTTCAGCGGGTTAGCACAGATGACACCTTCCAGGGCTGTGTTGGCAAAGAACCTGGAAACAATCAAAGACATGAGCACCTTTGGTGTGTTCCCCAGCTCTTGAGCTGCACTGAGTAGGCTGCTGGGGGGGCAGGCAAGGAATAGGTGGGCAACAGCCAGCACAGTGGCTCTGGAGGTACTTGGCATCCACCTTTTTGTGCCTGATAGCGCCTGCCGTTTCCTCCTCTTTGAAATGTGAGCACGCCCTATTAAGTACTACAAGAAACCCGTATCTTCCAGCTCCCCTTTCCTACTACTGCCTGGCTGCTGAGGAGAAAGGAGGGGGTGCACTCAGGTTTATTGAGTTACCAGAGAGGCTGGAGTGTGTCTGCAAAACACCTTGGTCATGCTTTTGGGTTAGGTTTGATGGGGTGCGCGGCAGCACAAGCAATCTTCTCTCCTCCCTGTCCACATCACAGATACCTCCAGCTGGACAAAGATAATTTTAATAAAAACGGTGAACTCTGATCCCACAAACCCCTGTAAACACATGCTTTAAAGCTGACTGTATCTTTAAGTGCTGCACTCAGCTCAGACTGTAAGGGTTTGAACCTGCAGCCCTGATGTGATGTCCCCTGATCCATGTCCTCCATGTGTGTTTGTATAAGTAATATAATTTATGTATATGGAAAAGCAAACTTAATCATCTGATAATACAAGTAAAGTGTTTGTCTTTCACTGTTGGAGGCATTTAAGAATACAAATGCTTTGAATAGCCTTCCTGCCTTTGAATGGTGATGTTTTGTTAATGCAAACTTAATGAGCTGGGAAAAAAATGGAAAGGAGGGTCTGGGGTTAGAGCTGAAAAGTCATTTTTTCTCTGAACCCACACTTGGCTGATTGTCTTGGGCTATAGCCATGAGCCCTACTGAATAAACCATTTGTTTGCTTCTGGAAAAGTAAAAAAAGACCCTTGACATTCTTTATGCAGCAGAAACAAGCTTGGGAGCAGATGGTCACTTACCTCTTTTTTTTTTTTTTTTTTTTCCTTCCTTCCCTAAATGTCATTTTGGTCAAAGTGCATACTATTCAAATATATTATTGTATATTTTCTGTATTTTAAATGCTAGTCCTGATGTAATTTCCTGAAGTAATTTGCTTTGTACTGAGGAGGAACTGGCCCCTGTATGTGTAGCTAGAATTGCAGTGCAGGGACGTGAAATGATAAATCCCCAGTCTGTGCTGGCCATCCCCAGAGAGCGTCCTCTCTTCCCTGCTACCAGTCTTGTTGAGAGGCAAAGGGGTAAACCAAGCACTCTCCATAGCTCCAGGGCTGAGTCCATTTCTTCCCTTGTTTGTGGATGGGCTGCTGCCAGGGTGGGATGTTGAGGAACAGGAGGAGGCAACAACAGCAGCCATCATAATTTTTGTCACTACTTACCTGTTCCAAACAGTGCTTGCTGGGTTCTGCATTGTGAATGCTCATCCCTCGTGGTTTGCTTGCAGTCTATCCTCGGGCATTAGCAGATGCAGTTCCAGGGGATGTATAGATCAAACTTATCCTTTAATCATCACTCATTAGTGCTTCAAAGTAAAAACTGCATTAGTTTGGCTCAGCCTCTTCCCTGTTCAAAAACACAACAAACCCAAACCATGTAATGTTTTACAAAGCAATGCCCTATTCCTGCTTCTAGACTTCTTGAAAAATTAGTATTTCAACAAGAAACATGAAGGAATATGATCAATATGCTATTTCATTGAGGAAAAGAACAAAAATTAATTACTTTTCTCAAGTGCTAACAGTATGTGTAATACAGAACAAACTGTAAGCTGAAATTGCAGCATTAAACCATCAAAGAGCAGTTTCTCCAAGAAATTTGTGTTCCACAGTTCTTGCAAGTAAGGCTGATGCAATTATGGTTAGATCCTCTAGACAGCAAAATTGGTGGTGGGCCCAGCCTGGAGCACTCTTGTGCCACCAGGAAGGAGCACAAAGAGCAGAATCACTTCAGCTCTTCTCTCATCATCCTTGCTGCCGTGGGCTCTGGGGCACCTTCGATCTAGATGGGTCTTAGCCATGGCCCTTTATCTTGGAGCTGGTTATTCCTTTTTCTGAGACAATAAGGTGGGGTTTTTTTTCTTCTTTTACTTACTTTTCCCCTTCAAAATCAGAGTCTTACCATGACATTTGCAATGACTGACCAGAAATGTGCAGGCTAACCGACAAAACTGTAAAGATAAGCGTACCACAGCATGTCTGAGGTACACAGACCAGATACAATAGCTGTGTTTTTTTGCAAAACAATTCCAGAAGTTCTACATAAAACATATCAAGAAATTAATGGGTCAGCTCCTACACAGAAATTTTTTGATACTAGCTGTCTGTGTGTCATTCCCTGACAGCTTCTTATTCATGGAGCTGAGGCATACTTAAAAACATAGAAGGGAAATGGGCATTTGTGTGAGTGGCATCAGGAGGAGCAGTGCCTGCCCCTCTCCCCCACCTGCAGTTTTGCTACGTGCTGCTTCCTATGGCATGAGATGGGCTGCATGGAGCACACACAGTAAGGGCATCATGGTGCCATGGACTGTTGCTGCACTGCAGCCAAAAGGTACCAGCAAAATGTATAACCAAAAAAATAATAGCTGTAATAAATATTCTAGCACGGCCTTAGGTTTCAGTTGAACAGTGTGTTTCCCAGAAATTAGTAAGGTGCACTGGGTTCATGAATCTGCATAAGCAAATATTTAGGACATATGCGGAGTCTGAGGCTCTCCTGGCAGGACAGGGGAAGCGTGAGTGAGTGATGAAACTTGTCAGACTTGGTTGGAGTGGAGCCATAGGAAGTTCTGAGGTCTGCAGATGAAAAAGCAGGTATCAGTGAGAGATGGATCTGTGGTTTTCCAAGGAATACTGAGATTTATAGGATGACAAAGATTTAACAAGAATTATTTCAAGGGAGCAGTTTTCTGCTTTTTCTATCCAAAGTAGTGGTAAGAGATGTGTCTGTACTGAGTGAAGAGGTCTATTTAGGCATGTTTTGTAGGAGCAGTATTTGAACTTCTTAGAAAGCCTAACCCAGTGAAAGAGTCCTGTTAGATGTTTGTTGAGGATGCACAGATTTATGTCCCTTCTATAAGGCTTGCCCTCTACCTTGTGCCTGTTAGGAGGTGCAAATGTTGCAAGTGGCCAAGAGAACGTGCACAAAGAAGATGCCCTTCAGTAATTTGCGTCTGCAGGTGTTAGTGACTGAAAACATATCTTGCAGAAACATGCTAAAGGTGAAGTGAGGGTCTGGCATTTGCCAAAACATTGAGAAAAGTATCTCCTGCCTTTTTAGAGATAAGGACATCCTTTTCATATGCTGTTCAGGGGTCCCACCAGAAGAGGTTTGTTGAAAAGAAATTTTAACAGCAAAAAAATATTTTGTTGCCTTGTAACTGTATGTGCTTGCATTGAAAACGGCTGGCTGAGGTGCTGAAGTGCTTTTTTTTCTTTTCTTTTTTTTTTTTCCTCAGTATGTGCTGACAATGAGAATGAACAAGAGGCAGACCAACAGATGGACAACTTGTACCTGAAAGCTTTGGAGGGATTTATTGCTGTGGTGACACAGGATGGAGACATGATCTTTTTGTCAGAGAATGTCAACAAATATATGGGTCTTACCCAGGTAACTTGTTCCCTTACGATTTCCTCTCTTCGTAATACAATTCACAGAAACAACTCTCATGTCCAAAGGCAGAAAACCCAGCAGCGTGTCACTGCAAAAAAGACTGGAAATAAATGTCTTAATTTCTCAGGCAGGTACCGTGCACAGCAGACAGCACAGGTTTCAGGTTCCCTGTCCCATCCTATCAAGTTGTCTTTGGCGACTTCAAAGTTGCCTTCCTAGAATCATACTAGGGGAGATGAGAAAACATACTTGTGCCTTAGACTATGGGACAGAGGGGATAGAGCTGCTCTTTTGGATTCCCCCCTTTTTTGCTTTGTGGATTGTGAGTTTTCTCCTGTGTCAAAATTGACAATATTGGTGTTGACTGTTAACTGCACTGTGCAAATTCAAAGATAAGAGAATCCTCCTGGGGAGAAAATGAGAAATTATGCATAAACAAATGGATAAACAAAAGGAGGGTCATGGGATTTGTGTTTGTAAGCATCCTGTTGATGCACTTGGTTCTAGGGACCAGTTTCGTTTCAGTCGAGTTTAAAAACAGATAAATAGTTTCAGTTTCTTTGATTTAGCTACATGTAGCTCTTACTTCCATACAGGTGGAACTTACTGGACATAGCATTTTTGACTTCACTCATCCATGTGACCATGAAGAAATTCGAGAGAATCTGAGTCTGAAAAATGGTAATAATGAAAATACAAAATTTTTACAAAAATACAAAAATGTTCATTTTTGAAATAACCGAATTAAGTAAATGGTTATCAGCAGAGATCTGTTTGTCATGGTAAAAGGAATTTTCATTCCTACAGTAGTCATTAACTTATTCAGTGCTTTGCAGATTCATTTTATTTTGCCAAATATTGCTTAAATATGATAGTACTAAGGAACTATTTGTTTAGTATTTTCCTTTCATCAAGTGTAGACAGTTGTAAAGTAATTGTAACACTGTGGAAAGATTTATGTGCTGCAAGCTAAAACATAGGTTTAAGATGCACAAAGTCCTATTTAAGTTCCTATGTGGAAGTTTTGGGTCTGAGCTCTACAGACTGCTCTGCAATGGTCAATGCATTTTGATGGTCTCTGCAGGTAAATTATCTGAGAATTGGTTTGTTATTTCTCTTGAATCCTTCATGCTTATAAGTAGAAGAAATCAAGAAAGAAAATGAGAAAATTAATTTGCTTTAATTTGCCTTTATACAGGTCCAGGCTTTGGAAAGAAAAGCAAAGAGGTGTCAACTGAGCGTGACTTCTTCATGAGGATGAAATGCACTGTTACCAACAGAGGCAGAACTGTTAACCTTAAGTCTGCCACATGGAAGGTATAATATTTGAGCCAAATTAAGTGCGTTTGATTTTAGTAGACATTTTGATGTTGAGAGAAAATACATCCTTTGTTTCTTGTTATTTCAGGTTTTGCACTGCACTGGACAAGTCAAAGTGTACAACACTTGCCCTCCTCACTCTCTGTGTGGGTATAAGGAACCTCTTCTCACCTGCCTTATAATAATGTGCGAGCCTATTCAGCACCCTTCAAACATTGACATCCCTCTGGACAGCAAGACCTTCCTGAGTCGCCATAGCATGGACATGAAATTCACCTACTGTGATGACAGGTATGCTCCACTGCTTTTTTCTTTCCAGAAGTGTTTTTATCTTCTAGAACAAAACAAGCAGCTCTTACAAATGTCCTGTGTGAACCTGGTCAGCAAGGACTAGAAGAAAATTCAGCCTGTTACCGAAACAGCTATTTAGTGGCTCACTTAATCCACCTCAAAAATTTCAGTTTGGGTGAAACTGTATTCCTGCTGTATTTCCTCATCCTGCCAAGTGAGGAATTCCATTTTACTGGCAGAAGATGAGGCAACTTGGAGGCACAAACATTAGCTTCTTGGGGTTTAACAAACTGAAGGGTTTACAGGATTCCTGTTCCCATATTTTAGAGAGCGTGTCCCATGGCATGTCGTACGGACCTTAGTCAAGGTCTGTTTTACGGTTGGCTTGGCCCAGGATGCTGTTATCAGTTAGCTGGCAAGTACTTTATGCTCTACTTTAACCAGGAATTTCCAAGGTATCCAGAGTACCTGCTGCTCTGAAATGGAGTTGCAGCCTCTTGCTCAATGAAAAGCAAACAGCCTTTATTGGTTTTCTCCCTGCACAATTTAGTGACGAAATGAAGGGGAGGGGAGGACCTTGGATCAGGCAAGGGGCTTGTCCTCTGCTCCCCACGCTTCACTCTTGAGTGGAAAAAATGGAGGTCCCTCTAGTCTCCACCTGCCAGACTTGTCCTGGGATCTCCATGGCATTTCATGCCATCTACCTCTTCTCCGTCTGTGTACTGTGATAACCATCTTCTATGCATGCAAGTGATCCATGCCAGAGATCCCTCCCCATGAAGTATCTTCGTGTGCTCCATTTGCCCAGAAAGTCCTGTCTTTACTGCTGTGGATTTAGGGTTTGTTTGGGGTTTTTTTAAGTTTATGAGGTCATCCCTAAATTTAAGATATACTTTTCTGCCTAAAGAAATTGGTCTCCTGAAATTCAGAGATGCTGGCAACCTCTGGGGCCTGGAGGGTTACCAGTGAGATTATACACATGCTTGCAACTTACGCAGAAACTCACAGGACCAACATTTTTGTTGATTTCTTCAACCTTTGAAGGTTTTTTTAAACTGCTAAGATTATTTTTTTAAACAATGTGATGAAGCAGCCATATAAACTTGTCGTTGTTAGCAGCTGTGGATGAAAGCAAGATTGCAAGTGTCAAACTTGCCACTGACCTTCTGACCTCTCTGAGAACTGGGCAGCAAGTAACTAGAAAAGGTCTCTGATGTAATCACAATCAAACTTTTTCCCATGGTAATATTTTCAGCATGAAATTATTGAGTTATGAATAGGATTTTGCTGCTGGAGGGAGAAGCAACAATATGGTAGTGACTCATTATTAAAAACAATAT